GTTGGTTAACCAGGTTTTAGATAGTCGCCAAAGAATTTGGCAGACTACCAGTAGAAGTAGAAGAAGGTGCTGCGGTAGAAGAAACAGCAAAAGTAAAAGAAGCCATTTGAAATTTAAGGTAAGAGAAAATATAGCGGACTAAAAACTTGAAGTTCAAGAAATAGAAAAGAAAGCAAGAGAAGTGACCGGAATATAGAAATGAGTTTATATTGGCAGAGGGTGCTCAGAAGCGAAGCGACATTTCAGTTTTTTCAAACGTGCCACGTGGCTTACGTTACCAGCCATTAGCATGTAGGGGCATTGTTTAGGCTAAATATAAAATGTTGCTCAAATAGGTCACAAGGTTAGTTGGGCTAAGTAATTAAAGCATCAGGCCCAATATAAAAAAAGGGGCTAGCCCCAAAGCTCAATAAAGTCCACAATAAATAAACATGCTGAAATCCTGTCAGCTACAAATATTAGACCATTGGCATGAAGACACGATCCTAAGTAATGCCAAAATTTATGCCCAAGTAGTGCAGTGAAACAGGCTGATTATTAAAATAGAGAGATCATGCCATAAGTTTTATGAGATTCCTGATTCTTTGGTAGAACATGCTAAGTCCCAGGGAAAGGCTTCCGCTATTTGACATAATAAATAGAAAGAAGAAAAAATAGAGAAGGCTAGTCAAACACTCAATCAAGACTCGTACATTTTAATTCATTAGCCCTTTCAGTTTTTAGATTTTTGTTTGTAATCATTTACACTTCAATAAAATTATATACTTGTTCTACCAAAGCCTTGTATCTTTTTACATCCAAGTGAACTGTGGTAAGGGACCTTAGGACCCTTTTCGTTATCTATTGAGACTCAGCGTTTATGGTACGCCTGGTATTTATTGTTCTACCATGAACACATTTTAATATTGAGCTCAAAACCATTGTGACATTGCATCATGTGCTGGTGTGATTTTGGTATTGTTTCATTACTTTGAATATTTTTATCACAGAATTGAAGAGAAAGAACTTTGCCACTTGTTGTCCGTTATTCTATAGGGATTTTGTGGAACTTTATAGTTCTTTTTGTTTATCAATTTCAAGAATGTTGTTTTGTATTCCTTTTGTTGATGTTGATTGGTTGTTTGGGATGGCAAAGTTTATGTAGTCATTATTTCCTTTTTGCTAGCCTGAGTGTTTCTATTATCAAATGTTTAGCATGTTACCTATGAATACAAGTTAAAAGATTTGTTATGCATTGATTTCAATCCATCATCTTCCTAATTTCAATTGTTTCCATGGATTTGATTAAGTCATTCATGTTTCTGATCAATGCAAGAGTTTTTCAACATGTCGACATAATTTTTTACGGGACTATGAAGAATAAAATTTCTTAGGCTCTTGTGCTTTATTCACCTCTCTTCCAAGTATCAGTTGACTCTTGATCGATTAGCTGTTGTAGCTCTCGAATCTCGATCTCAACGTCTTTGTTACCATTTATTATATGCTGCTTGATTCTATAATGAGAGCTTTTAATAAAGTAAAAAAAATCATATATCATTAGTAGCTAGATCAAGTAGATATACTAAGGTTTTTTGAAGTTTGAACAATGTAAGAATTTTTTTTTTGGCACATACATAGAAAAACTTCATGGTGACAGAAGATTTCAAGATTTGCAATTGTTCTTTGGAAGATTTCAAGAATTTAAATTGATGAGTCTTAAAACTCAATTATAGTTTATAAACAAACAATACACTTTTAAAAACATTGACAATGTACTTGGATTAATAAAAATTTATTTCATTAAATCTTTCATTTGAATACATAAAAATTTATAGATCCATTTCTTATTATAGATATAGAGATTTTTTTATATTTTAATCATTTAAAATTCTAATTATTTTAAGCATATTATTTCTTCTTGCATTTTTAATATTAATAGCTGTATGGTTCTCATAATTTTTTTATATGTCATTCTTTTCTCTTGTTAATTAAAAAGTAAAAATAAATTTATCACTTTTAATTTTCTGTTTTTGTTTTAAATTCCAATCCAACTCATCTCTCTTATTCTTTTGAAAAACTACCTAAAAATGAATTTTAAATATATAAATTTTAAATATAAAATTTAAAATGTAATATTTTAAATCAAATTTTAAATTCAAATCTATCAATCTAACTATGCTGCGTTGAAACTGTCATTCTTTCCAAATATTTTATTCATCATTTGGTTCTACGTGCCCTTGGGACCAAGGGCAAAGTCAAAAAATTTTGTTTGAAGGGCCAAAATAACAAAACATATATAATAATTCAAAGAAAATTTAAAAAAAAAGTATACACACACATATCACTAACATAAAAACATAAATATTTCAACCTATATATTTATATTTAATTTTACACCCACATAGATATGTAACAAAGATAAATATATATCTTCATTTTTTAAGTTTTGCTCATTAATTTTTTATGGCATAAGAATAATTAATTATCATGTTTATTAGAAAATTTTTAAAAATTTCCTCCACAATGTAAAATATCATTAAATTGGTAAATATTTTATATTCCCTATAAACATTGAATAATTTAAATGCATTCTTAAAACTTAAAGTTTATTTTAATATAAAAAAATATCACTTGCTTATTGAATTTACCATTTAATTTTTTTAATTGATATGTTTTTAATTTAATATATTTTGATATTTTTATTGTAATGCTTTATAAAATTTATCAATAATAATTCTCATAAATTCTTTTATCAAATATAAAATAAAAATAAAATTAAATGATATTAATACTTTAAATGTAAATTTAACGTTATCTTTTTAAAAATAAGGATATTTTATAACAATTATATGAAGCTATTGTAATAGTTAGATCATACATACTTAAAAAAATTATTATAAAATTAAAATGAGAATCAATATATATATATATATACAAATCTTGTAGGAGGTCACTGGTTGGTCAAAATCTCTTTGATTCTATTGATCAATTAACTTTGATTAAATTTTAATTCTTTTCGTTCATTAGTTCATTTTATTTGTCATGTATCAAATTATTAAATTTTAAATATAAAATTCAAATTTTACGAGAGCTCTAATTCTATCCATCTCAGCTTTTTCATTTATCTCGTATCTTTTAATATTCTTCAATCTCTATCTTTAAGAATTTATGTATCTAATTATTAAATTTTAAATATAAAATTTAATTTTTACGGGAGCAGTAACTTCATCCATCTCATCTTTTCCATTTATCTTGTGTCTTTCAATATTCTCCTGTCTCTATCTGTAAGAATTCATGTATCTCATTATTAAATTTTAAATATCAAATTCAAGTTTTACGGGAACAGTAACTCTATCCGTCTTCACTTTTTTATTTATCTCACATCTTTTAATATTCTTCAATCTCTATCTTTAAGAATTCACATATCTAACTATTAAATTTTAAATATAAAATTTAAGTTTTACGAGAGTAATAACTCCATTCATTTCAGCTTTTTCATTTATCTTGCGTCTCTCAATATTCTCCAGTTTCTGTCTTTAAGAATTTATGTATCTAATTATTAAATTTTAAATATAAAATTCAAGTTTTACGAGAGCAATAACTTCATCCGTTTCATCTTTTTCATTTATCTCGTGTCTTTTAATATTCTCTAGTCTCTATCTTTAAGAATTCATATATCTCATTATTAAATTTTAAATATCAAATTCAAATTTTACGGGAATAGTAACTCCATCTTCTCAACTTTTTTTTATCTCGCATCTTTTAATATTCTCCAGTCTCTATCTTTAAGAATTCATATATCTCATTATTAAATTTTAAATATAAAATTCAAGTTTGACGAGAGTAATAATTCCATCCATTTCAGCTTTTTCATTTATCTCACATCTTTCAATATTCTCCAATTTTTGTCTTTAATAATTTATGTATTTCATTATTAAATTTTAAATATAAAAAATTCAAGTTTTACGAGAGTAGTAACTCCACTTGCCTCAACTTTTTCATGGAGTGCCAATGGCATGGGCTTAAATATCTGAGAAAGTTTATTGTACCTCTTAGTGAGCATTTTTGTTGTCACTTGTGCTAGACAATAAAAATTATCTTGTTCTCCACTAACACGAAATGGAATAAAAATATATCGATTTGTATAACTTTTTCATATTGTTGGTGAGTGTTTATCTATATTACTTAGCTATATCTATGTTGTTACTTACAATGTTCTTATATCAAACCTTAACAATTTGCAAAGATAAATTATTTCACTTTTAAGTTATTAGACATATAATTATATACAATTTTAATAACAAAACATTTGTGTTATAATTTTTCTGACAATATGCTGTAAACATAAAATCAAAATAAAAAATATAATTATGTTTTATATATTTCAAATATAAAAAAAGTACATAATTCAAATTTTCTACATCATTTAAAAAAAAAAAGAAAGGATACATATTTAGAAGTTTTCACGTCATAATCATGTATGATGGAATAATTAAAAATTCAATCTTTTCAAACTATATTTGTAATTTACTATAGGCTTGAGAAACAAAGATAAGATTAATATGAACAAAATAATTCAAAAAGAAAAAAATAATTAAATAGAGGAATTTTTAAAATTTTAACAATTTTAAATGTGTTAATATAAGTAATATCCAAAGTGTTTGTTTCAATTTTTTTAAATTCAATCCGTGCAGCACACGGGAAACAGTCTAGTTCTATTTAATATCTCAAGACTTATATAATATACCAACTTAAAAGATTAAAAATATATAATTCTTATATTTTATTAAAAAAATTAAAAGTTAGGTGACCGTAGCTCCTGCCTATGAAAATATTTGCATTGCACTGTAGTTCAAGAACGGCTTACGCGGCTAAGGTTCACCGTAAACTACCCTGTCAGTCCCCAGTGAAGCCGCCGGCGCATGTTCAGGTGACAAAGCTGTGACATGCTAACTTGCGCTGACGCTGGACACTTGTAGCTCTTGCGCACAAAATCAGTTAAATAAAGCATATTCGTGCGCACTCACTCTCTCCCCCTTCTCTAAAACGTCGCCTTCATTGCCATCATTTCTCTCTTCCTGATCTTCCTCTGTTTCGCCACTCCTTTCTTTGTTTATTTCCTTTTCTTGTTTTCTTCGTCATCGTTCGTTTTCAACGCTGAGATTGAAAATCATCCGCATACGTCAAAGTCCAGAAGAAAATCTTCTGGGATCGTCTTTTCAGAGAAAGGCTCAACTGGGAGGGTTGTGGTATGGATCTGTGTGCTGTTCATGTCAAGAACATTACTCGGAGCTCTCTTTTGGTCGGAAACTCGTTTTGCGAGAGACCCGCTTCTGGCTGGACTTTGGTAAGGACGAGAATTTCTTCCAGAGTTGAAGATGGGCGAATTTTTGGGATCAAAATTTCCAAGCGCAAGGTCTGCTATAAAGGGTATCAGCCATTTGCTGTGAAAGCTATGGGGAAGAAGAATAATGATAATTCATCGTCTTCAGGTTGTTTTAATTTCTATATCTGCAATTCACTTGATTCCCCTGTTTGGATTGTTCTTTTCCATTGTTTTTGTGGCCTTCAAACTGCTCGAAGTGTGGCATTATAGTGGGTGTACTTGTCTGAGGAGGTGCTTTTGTCTTTGAAGAATTGAATTTTCTGAAATACTTAATTATTGTTTGGCCTAAGAAGATATTTTCAGTCGTTTCATTGTTTACCGAAAATGGATTGAGACAGACCGAGCATCATAATTGCATTCAACGTTGATGAAAAAGGTCATATTCTATAGAAAATAATCAACTTAAATTAGCACAAATTTAGGTGTGATAGGTGCTGGTAGAAAACTCCATCATATTTAGTTCATTGGGGAACGGTATGAAAGAAAAAACGAAAGATTCTTGTTTTGAATGAAAAGTTTGATCTTTCCATACAGATAAAATTGGACCTTTCATCAACATACCTTGACAAATAACGAGGCTTCCCTAGATTTTTCACATGTTGGTTGAATATGGAAATGATGTAGACTAGTATTATAATTGAATCTTCATTCCTCACTTGAACTGAGTTGTTTATTTTATTTTTATTTTTTTAGATTTTGGTTACATCTGATTACATATTTTAACACTTCCCTTGCCGGTACAAGGCCTAATTTGTTATGCGCTAAGTTGGATAGTTACTCCTTGTAGAAGTTCATGAGTGTTATTTACCATTTTCTCCCCTTTAGTTGGAAGTTTGTATGGATTTTGATTTTGATATACTATCTTCTTTTTATTCAACCGAAGGGCTTGTTAAAAGTCACATCTATCTTTAAAATAATACTTTTTTCTTGTTCATTCAATTTTCCGAGTCTGTGTTCCTACACTTTCTCTTACCATTCAAACAGTTGAAACTTGAAAACACAATTTGAAGTTGGAAGAGATACATAAAATGACAGAGTTAATCGCAAAAGCAAAGTTTTTCTTGGAATGCATTCCAGACAATGAGTTGGGATTTTAGTCAAGAACTTCCTTCTCCCCGTTTTTGATAAAGTTTTATGATAAACTGATTAAAAATATATTTTTCTTACGTCCATTATGTTTTAATGTAATTTTAAACTGAGACCTTTAATGTCCAATGTTAGTTCCTCTGTAAATTGCCTCACTGTCTGAACTTGGTGCAAGAGAACTTTCTTCTGTCTTTGAGAAAGGACTATGTGATTCCATGAAAGTGTACATCTCAAACTTTCAATGTTTGTTCCTTATAATGACTAAACTAGATTCACATTTTCAACATGGTAGAAGGGATTCTTTTTCTTTGGTGTTGTGGTTCCATGACAAATTTGTTACAAAGTTGCTGTGATGTTGTAAGTGCCAATGTCAACCACCATGCTGGAATTGTGCGGTGGTTTAGGGACTGATTAAGTCACTGTTATAAAACCCTCAAGTCATGGCAGATGCCTTGGCTGTGGTGGCCATAAAATATGGTAGTCGCCACTTTCTAAATGATAGGCAATGCTCTTATAAATTAGAAGCCTTCTGGTACACAGTAATGTTCAACCTGCTATCTTAGATTTCAAGATCCAGTGGAAATAAGCTATAATAAGATCTATTGCTGGTCTGCCATGCAACAATTATGGAGTCACAAATCTATGAAATTTCATTGTTCGTAATTTTTACAAAGTACCAATTATATCACTGAACTGTCAACTTTCAATAGCCATATCAAATAGGACTCTTAAATATCATTGTATCCAGTGGCAAATTGATAACGGTCACACCTGTTCCCCACCCCAAAAGAAGATTATTTTTTATTTGAATTTAGGGCAATTTAATTCACTTTTAGACTTCTTTCTTTTCTTGGCTGTTCTCAACTTGTTTAGCAGTTTAGCGCGATCATTTATGTAGCTTTGTTTTAGTTAAAGAAACAAAATGAAACGAAACAAAAGTAGAGAATGACAATTATTAATATATGCTGCAAAAAAATGTAAACTCCACAGTTTATCAAGAGGTTAAATCCTTCCATAAGGATTGAACCTTCGAATTCTTAAATGATGTCTTGTCAAATTCTCAAGAGTTTAAACCAATGAAAGTTTTTATATTAATTCATTGAAACACGATCAAGACAACAAACATGGGAATTTACTATATTTGAAATTATTAAAAATCTGAACTTTTTTATGCAGTTCATGTATTTTTTTTTTCTTATCTTCCTTTTTTGGTTATATATTTTTATTATTTTTTAAATATTTTTATTTCATTTTACATAATTTTCTATGTAATGACTTTTCTATCTTATAAGTTATTTCAAAAATTATTATTAATAAATGTAAGAATAAAATTACAAAATAACCAAAAAAAAAAACATGTATTTGTGTTTTTTCTTAAAAAAAAAAATAATTTGGCCCTCCTCCTACAAGTTATTTTCTTTCTCTGCCACTAATTTTATCATATACCTTAATTAATTTGCTCTCATACAATATTTGACATGAAGAAGCCAAATGTACCAAATGACTTAAATTATTGGTCCTAAGTCCTAACTTTTAAATGAAGTTCAGCTGATAAGTCCAATTTGTGTTTGATGTTTTGGCTAACTTCTTTTTGTGAACTCCAATATCTGGTTCTTATGTTCATAAGATTATTGATTTGGCCAATAGTCTGTTCTCATCAATATGCTAAGGTAATTGATGTAGGATATCATGTAAAGTCTATAATGTGGTAAATCTTGCTAATTGCATTTTAAGACAGTTTCATATCATCATGGTCTGAAAAGAATCGTAGTTCCCCTTTTTGGCTGATTTAATTTTTGCCAGTTTTGTCTTTCAGGTCATCCTGCATTACATTTTTCTCGATGGGTTGTGAATTGGTTTTACACTATGTAAAATTTATCCCAATGGTTTCTATGTCTTGGCAATTTACTTGTAAAGTTTAAGAATAAATCGGGTCTCTATAAAGTATAAATTTACTTGTAAATTTATCTTGGCAATTTACGCGTACTTCCAATTTAGTCCATCTCAGTTGCAATGCTGCCAGCTTGGGTGATATGTTTATCCGTTTCTTTCTCCATTTTTTGTGTACAATTTTATCAAATTTTGTCTCATGAAAATTTTATGAGATGTCAGCAGTTAATCAGAGTTTTTATAATAAGTTGTTTGATCAAATTTTGTCTCACCTTATCCCCTTTTTATAGCTGTTTTCATTTTGTAAAGTATGTTTAAGTTCTACTAGACATTAAGGGGTGCTGAGAACACATTTTATTTATGCAAATGAACTTTGACTCTGAAAGAAATACTCCAACCAGAACAGGATATCCATTTTGGAAACCATACATTTTTGTTTTTGATAAATTTTCGAAACCTTCATTTTCGTCATATGAATTATAATTTGGGTTTCTTTCATTATGAGCAATCTTGTACAACCTTGTATGTATCATGCTTGAATGCTTGAATCTCTCTAACTCAAATGTTTGACACTATAAATTTGACGAAACAATTTTGGAGGTTCACTGTGTAATCACTTTTCCTAAGCACGTTTTTATATATTTTATTATGATAAGGACTTGTATTATTGCTTGAAATAATGGGAAATTAGTCGCAATCCCCTTCTTTAAATGATGGAAAAGGAAATTGACACAGTAGCTAAAGTCGGCAGAAAATATAAGAAAAATAGTAAAGTTGGTAACCTCTTCTCTGACTTTCAAGAGACCCTCTGTAGCCAAACACGCTAATTGCTTGCCTCATTCCGTACCTGCAACCCTAGATAACTGTGTTACTGCTCTGTCTCTCCCTTGTTCCCTTGCTTTCATCCTTCTTGCCAGACCTCTTTACTGTCCATGAGCCTCCATCTCTTATAAACACAGCTCAATGGACTATCAGGTTCATGATGTTACTCTAAGCATTCTATTCAATTTTATAAAGAATTAAAAAATACATTTCACTATTCAAAACATGGAAATTCATGTATTTATTTTAATTGGTCTTGGATAGAAAATTTATTTTGATATTCACCAAAACTTTTGTTTTCGGTCATTGTAGAAATTGGATATTATGACTTTCATTTCTCTACTTATCCTTCCATTCATTTTCTTGACAACTTTTCTATGCAAGCTCTTAAATTTAATGATACTTAACTGCATGGATTTTGTGGAAGCATTCATTTGCTAGCAATTGCCAGCTAACTTTCTCCCTTTTCAATTGCCACATGTTATGTGTTTATTATGAAAATAAGAATGACCCAAAGAGAGGTGCATTGATTAGCTTTTTTATGCCACACAATAGCAGCCACCATGAAATCTTGGCTAGAAACTCTTTAGGTTTCAAGACTTCATGTTTCCTCAGATTTAGAATGTGGAATCTCTGGATCGGAAACATCTAGAAGACGACACTAGGGCCTGGGCTGATCAGTCAGTATTCATCAAGTATTTCACACGCAATCAAGATTCTTAAGTTGTAGAGGAAGATGAATTGGCAATTGAACTTTTGGGAACTAGGTGATTCATAACTTTGTGTTTGATTTTGATGCATTAAGACTGACCTGGAACTTGTCCCAAAAATTGAAGTGAAATAAAACCTATGTAATATAATTTTCTCAAATATATTGCCTGTATATAATCTTTTCAAAGAAGCCACAGATTGTTGGGAGTCTGATATGTGCTTTGACTAAGTCTGGCCAACATGCTGTGGATTTTTTATTCTATAAGAATTGCTTTGACTTTTATAATTAATATGATTTCACTAGATCTTATGAGTAGAATCTTCTCCACGTTCATGGATGTAATGATTAATTACAGGAGATGGTGAGCAGTCTCTCCCAGAAGGAGATGGTGCTAGAGATAACAAATCCTCTGATGACAAGAAGTCAGACATGAATACTGCGAAACCTAATCGTACCGATTTGGACTGGAGAGAATTCCGAGCAAAGCTATTCAGAGATGAGCTGGTAATATATTTGTTCCTTCAAAGCATGCCTAGCTGTCACCTTATTTTTCCATAGTTCTTGCATGTTTGTTTCAAGTGGATAATTTTGATTGAGTTTTGAAAATATATTTACGTTTGGGGACATTTGTTATATTCTATAAAGCATGGATGCCTATCTATAGGTGGATTAGGGGTATTGTGTCTTAGTGAGAAGATTTTCTTTTGCTTGGCTCAAACATGCATTGGAGAAGCTGGTCGGAAATCTGAAAACACACACACACACACAATGAGGAACCCCAACTTGATGACATGATCACATTTCTTCCCATATACATATATATATATATATTGGTAACTTGATACTTTTTGTGACTGAATAATCTTCTGGAACATCGTTTTGTTTCGGAGATTTTGATTGTTGAAGAATATTTCAAGCATCCTTGGAAGTTATATTATAAAATGTTTGAATTTTTGATTCGGCAAGTAGATAGCTTCACTTAGAGAGTTTGAAACATCATTATTTGAATGTCAAGAATATCAACATATTTGCATGCCACGTCATTTTTCATGCGTTCTTGGTTTTCCTTGTTAGTGTTCATGCTTCGAAGGTTATAATGATTTCCTTGTTCTTCGTACCTGTCATATAAACATGCATGACAGTTGCAAGATGATCCCTTTTTATTGATTTTCCATAATGCCATCCATTTGGGGGCAATGCATGGTTGAGGCTGCAACTTGACTTTGACTGTCTTCTGATAACCTTCTCCATAGCGGACAATGCTGGTGATAAATTTTGGCCCGCTGTCAAATGCTAGAAATTTCTGTTGGTATACACTTGTCTTGTTGACTTATTGAATTTCTAATCTCTCTATGAGGCATCTTTTATTTATTTACAATTGGGGCACATGTAAGAAGAAATGAAAAATTGCTACCTTTGATTGTGCTTGAATATCTGAAAGCATTCACTTGATTTACAGAAAGAAGTAGCAGAATCTGATACTCACAACCAAGGTGGGACATTGCACAGTTCCAAACCTCTGGGCTCAAAGTGGGCTCACCCTATTCCGGTACCTGAGACTGGCTGTGTACTTGTTGCCACGGAAAAGCTTGATGGCATTCGCACATTTGAAAGAACTGTTGTACTTCTTCTCAGATCTGGAACTAGGCACCCACAAGAAGGGCCTTTTGGAGTTATCATCAATCGCCCTCTTCACAAAAGGATCAAAAACATAAATCCCACAAATCTTGATCTAGCAACCACGTTCTCTGACTGCTCTTTGCATTTTGGCGGACCTCTTGAGGCAAGCATGTTTTTGTTAAGAACAGCGGAGAAGTTGAAGCTGCCAGGATTCGAAGAGGTGATCCCGGGCCTCTGCTTTGGAGCTCGAAACAGTTTGGTTGAAGCTGCTGTGCTTGTGAAGAAGGGAATACTGAAGCCTCAGGATTTCAGATTCTTCGTTGGCTATGCTGGATGGCAATTGGATCAGTTGAGAGAGGAGATTGAGTCAGATTATTGGTATGTGGCTGCTTGTAGCTCAAGCTTGCTTTGTGGGGCTTCAACGGATTCCTCAGAAAATTTGTGGGGTGAGATTTTGCAGCTAATGGGTGGCCATTACTCCGAACTGAGCCGGAAGCCAAAGCAAGATATGTAGTTTCTAAGCTATCTATGCTTCATGAATTAAAGTCTCCTGACAAATGAAGCATGCTTTGTAATCAGGATGTTTTGTTGGGAAGGCAAAAATGTACATAAGTTCGCTTTATGCTAAATTCTTGGATCTCTCTCCTCGCGTCTTCACTATATATTATTAATTTCAATCGGAATTTCACTCTGTAGGAGTTCTGTAAGTATGCTCGTTATATATAGCTCAGCTCAAGGATAAGATCAAGTTTTCTGTTTTAATGACTAGAGACGAGAAATACTTTAATGAATAGAGAATATATATACCTTAAAAAGATGAAAATTTTGTACTATAACTCTTAAATTATTTTTATCAACCCGAGCAAAAATTAACAGGGTGCCACCAACCAGGATATGTAACTATTTTCCAGGGCTTTATTCTTTTCAAGGTGTTAAAAATCAGACTGGTAATTGAATCGACCAAGGTATTAGTTTAGTAATCATTGGTTGGGTTGTCTCTAGTCAGAATGTAATTAATTTAATATATTTTTTATTTTATGTAAGTGACATTCTATAAAATTTTAATTTACAACTTATGAGGTGAGATTAATCATATTTCTTCAAGATTATTCTACATTTGTTTAATATTCAAAAGCACATATTAATTATGTACATGTAGAGACAACTCACTAGGTACTTTAGGCTTGTTAAAGCTAAATTATAAAGATAAGTTATATGGTAGTAAATATTAGACTTTAAAAGAATAATAAGAGTATAAAGTTGGAGCAGTAAAAATAAGAATGTTGATATGAATGTGTATGCATACATAAAAAGATAAAATACAAAATGAAAATATATGAGAAAAAGTATGTGTGACACCTTTTGTAGTAAAAATGGTAGAAAATCATTTGAAATAATTTAGACACATATAGAGAATGCTGTGGGAAGTATTGATGAGGAGAGTGAAATGGATCGCCTTAAGTCTTATAAAGAGATGTAGAGAAAAATAAAAGAAAATACTTATGAAAGTTGTGGAATGAAACTCTTAATAATATTTTTAAAAGATTGGTTGATGATAGAGCACAATGATATTATACAATTCATGTAGTTGACTTTACCTATTGAGATAAGTCTTGTTATTATTGTTTCTTACAATGTCTTCAATTGTAATTTCCCCTTAAACAAATTTATAGTGGAGCCCTACAATATAGTCACTAAATTGATTGAGCCCTAGGATCATAAGTCATTGATTCATATTAATTTAGTTGGCAACTTGCAGACACTTCTTTAGAGGCATGCTTCCCTTTCATTGATCCATAATCCAAGCATAAACTCAAGAACTCTGGTTAAAGATTTAAAAATGATCATCAAAGGTAAAAGATGTTAGATTAGGAAACTACCCAAGAGAAGGATTGAATTGAGTGTTTACCAAATTGTGGGCTAAAACATAATCTTTCAAAAAACTTAGCTTAATTAAAAATGCAACTAAAAGTTTAGCAAAACTAGTTTAAGTGAACTCAAAATATCACAGTTGAAAAGCATTTGTAAAAGACTTGATAGAAAATTGAAGCTCTGATTTGTAAACCTTTGAAATAAAGGAATGAACAAATTAAGCAAGGAAGGTGAAACCAATTTATCAAATCAAAGTATTAAAGATAAATTTGGAATGGAATTTCCAAAACCAAAAACCAAGAGACAAAGAATACAATATGTAGAATAACCTCACTACAATTTCTCATTGCACTAGTGAGCTTATCACTCAAGAGGATAATCTCTATTGATTATAAAAAAAATCTCTCCATCACAATTTCAATCCTCATAGAGAAATCTATCTTTATGCTAAGCCAATAAAATTCTTCGCTTGATTCACTCAAGAATAGGATAGAGATATTTCTAAATAAATTATCTCTCAAAGATGACAAGAACAATTATGATCACTCACAATAACCTCTCTCAAAAAATAGATATTACTTAAGGCCTATAAACCAAGTGAGAGCATCTTTTACAGAAAATGAATGCAAATAGTAAGAATTCAATGCTAAGACACTTAATGCACATTCAGGTTACCTACTCATTTAAATGAAGTCCTATTTATAGTTTAGGATGATTATAATGGTTAAGAACACTCAAAAAAATGGTTTAAAGCTATTAGAAATGCATAGAAGTCAAGGAAAGCAAAACAAGGACTTTCTCTGTGAATTACACTTAATGCACTATTGGAACCTCATTCAAGCATGTATGACATAGAGGCACGTGTGAATAGGATCAAGCTAGAATGGTTTGGTTCACTTCTAGCTAGTTCAAGCCTTTAGGCTTACTAAGACAAGCAAGTATCATGAGTTTGAAGTACGTTGTTTTCACTATGAACTTAGACACACATGGATTGGCTCTCATACTAGTGTGTATTGGATATTTACTTTCTATAAGCCAAGACATGCATGTATGACTATTGAGACAAGCTTAAATTGGCTTGATCGAGCTCAAGGCTCTCTAAGTTAGGCTTGAAAAATTATAAGTGTTAAATCCCATTCAAGAGTGTATCATATTGGAGACACATGTAGATTAGATTAAGGCACAATTCAAGATGACACATTAGGACTAATTCAAATATGTATAACCATGCACTCAAGCATGAATTAGATCACAGAAAACAAATCCTTAAGTAAGCACTAGATCAAGCGTGTGCTCAAACTAAGACAAGCAAGTTCTAGCCAAACTTAGAAAACTTGCTTTGACTGAAGAGCCCAAACACATGTGCATCCTGTAACACCCTAACAACTTATAAAATAAAATTTCACATTTTTTTAAAAATCCTACCTTGAGGAATTTTCCAAATAAATCAATAGTATTACCTAAGCTAGTGGAGGGGACTTTTATAATATCCTGAATTTCAATCCCAAGAACTAATTGCTAATCAGGGGTAAATTAGTAATTAGGGGATTGATTATGATTTGAATGTTGAGTTGATAATTTGTGTTGTTTGGATGTTGTAATGATAGGATTAAAGGGTAAAAAGACAATCCGAGGCATAATACGTGAGCACAAATAAGAATTTTCTCACTGTGCCACATGTCACAATAAAGGCTGTTTGCGTTGCGGTGCTTAATTCAGGAATCACTTAAAACTGATGTGAACAAATTGTGCAATTAAAAAAGGGAGAGCTGGAGACATATCTAGAGAGAAAGAGGAAGCCATCTCTATTAGGGCAAGCCATAGTTGGAGCTCAGGAGTTTGCTTCGATTAGTAACTTGTTGGGTAAGTATTGCGCAATCACAAGCTTTAATTCTATCACTTTTTTATTGAATTTCATCAGTTGAGAAATTGAATTGTGGTATTCTTAGGTGTTGTAATCTAAAAAAAAAGATTAAAACAAGATATCGAATGTAGAACTAAGGTTTTGTGACTAGTATAGAGTTGAATGGTTGAGCTTTGAGCATTTAGGCTCAAAATGGCCTAAAAGTTAGGTTAATAGTAAGAATTTTGATGAATGAATGGATTAAGAGGTTGTTATGGTTGTTTGAGTAGCCTATAGGTCTAGTGACCATAAATAATGAATAAGTGAATTGAAAAGGATTCAATTGGATTGTTTTATGCATTAAGGGATTCGGTTAAGTCGAATTAATGCTTATGAAATGTGTTGAGAATTGATTGAGGGACACTGTATTATGTAGATTGAGCACTTGTGAAGTTGCTTGTGAGAATCTGCACCCTTGAGAGCTTAGTGTGATTGGTAACCTTTAGTAGTAACGATTAAAGGTAACTGGAACAACCCTTTTACTTATTTTTTTGTGAAATTATTTGCAAGTATTTTGATATAACTATGTGTATTGTATTGTGAACTGATAGAGTAGCAATATTGACTCTACTGTGATCTAGAGCATAGAGCTTGACTCTACTGTGATGAACCTAGGAGACCACCCATACAAAAAGAGAATGACTTAGCCTGAGTAGTGGTATGGAGGACCCTATTCCTTGTGACTAGAAGTCTTGGTTTGGATGTAGATATTACTCTACCAGGGAGAACCAGGAATGTATTGCATGAGTATAACAAGATTGATGAGAATGAATTATTATATGTGCATATGTTATTGTTTTATTGATATTCATTATGCTTTATCGTTTGTTTATGATTTTGCTCACTAACTGGTAATTGGGGTTACATCTGAGTTACTGGAACGTATGTCTCACTCCATTATTTTTGAACACAGGTGAAGAGAGTACAAGAAATCTAAGAAAGAAAGTAAGGAAAGAGTAGCCTCGATTAGGAAATGAATGTATAATGTGTTAATAGAGTTAAGTTGCCAACTAGGATACATAAATGTATGTGCATATGAGAAAGTGAGTTCTATTATGAAACTTGCTTGTATATGTATGTATATGATGTTGCATTATGCTAAAGGTGCCCAGTGGAGGGTACATAAGTAGGCCTAAATGCAAAACAAGCAAGTATATGTGTATTGTAACTTGTTCCACTATGTGATTATGTGATGATTATGTGTTGATTGTGAATTGAATGTGATTCATATTGTTACGTGAGAATTTAACACAAATGGTAAGAACTTAACACCAATGGTGAGGTAGATTCTCATTTGGAAGAGTCGAGTACATTTGTAATTCCCAATCATATGGTGAGGCAGAGCCCCATATGTAAGAGTCAGAGGATTGAAAGTGGAACAAGTATAGTTGTATTTATGAGTATGTAATTGTATATATGTGATTTCTCATATAAGACCACAATTGTGTAATGTGGCTTTGAGAGGGCAAAATGGGCTATTGATATGTCATATGTGTATTGTGATGTTAATAAGGTAGTCTTTTTGGACTTAGTTCAAGGCATGAAGTAGTCTAATAGGACTAGAAATGAGAATTGAGCAATTAGGGTGTAAGTTTTAAAAAGAAAAAGTGACTTTTTGCACTCGGGTGTCTAATTTTTGATCTGACTATCAGATTGAGTCCAAACCTATTCTATTAGCCAGTATAAATTGTAAGCTCCGTGTGAGCATTTGAATCACTCCAATCGGATGTTGGATGTGAGAATGGTGTACGTCGAAATTTCACCATTTTTGCTGTCAAATGATAGCAAAAAATTCATATAGGCATGCCGCGACGCATGACGTCTCATGCCACGGTGCATGACATAAAGAAATCAGGCATGTGACTCCATGCCACATGTCACAGCGTATGGCCCATTTTTAGAATTGACAAGTTATG